TCAAAGCAATGCAGGAACGAGCATCCGAGGTTGCTGAAGTGACCTGGCAGGTCAGCATGACCCTTGGGAGTGAGCTGCACTGCTTTGCGGTGGGCTGAGATGGCTTCAGCAATGTCAGAAAAGTCCTCTGTGTGCTCAAAGCAACACTGGAACGAGTTTCCAAGGTTGTTGAGGCGGCCTGGTAGGTTGGCATCACCCTCGGGAGTGAGCTGTACTGCACTGTGTTGGGCTGAGATGGCTTCAGCAATGTCGGAAAGATCTCCGGTGTGCTCAAAGCGACACATGAATGAGATTCCAAGGTTGTTGAGCCAAGCTGGCAGGTCAGCATGACCCTCAGGAGTGAGCTGTACCGCTCTGTGTTGGGCTGCAATGGCTTCTGCCATGTCAGAAAGATCCCCAGTGCTCTTGAAGCGATACCGGAGTGAGGTCCCAAGGTTAGTGAGCAAAGTTGGCAGGTTGGCATGACCCTCAGGAGTGGACTGCACTGCTCTCTGCTTGGCTGAGACGGCTTCAGCAATGTCAGAAAGATCTCCAGTGCGCTCAAAGCGACACAGGAATGAGTTTCCGAGGTTGCTGAGGCGACCTGGCAGGTTGGCATGGCCCTCAGGGGTGAGCTGCACCGCTTTTTGGTGGGCTGAGATGGCTTCTGCAATGTCAGAAAGATCCCCAGTGTGCTCAAAGCGGCGCAGGAAGGAGTTTCCAAGGTTGTTGAGCCAAGCTGGCAGGTTGGCATGACCCTCAGGAGTGAGCTGCACCACTCTGTGTTGGGCTGAGATGGCTTCAGTGATATCAGAAAGATCCCCAGTGCGCTCAAAGCGACACTGAAACGAGTTTCCAAGGCTGGTGAGGCATGCTGGTAGGTTGGCATGGCCCTCGGGAGTGAGCTGTACTGCTCTGTGCTGGGCTAAGAGGGCTTCAGCAATATCGGAAAGATCCCCAGTGCGCTCGAACTGATGCCGGAACAAGTTTCCGAGGTTGTTGAGGAAACCTGGCAGGTTGGCATGACCCTCGGGAGTGAGCTGCACCGCTCTGTGCTGGACTGAGATGGCTTCAGCCATGTCTGAAAGGTCTCCAGTGTGCTCAAAGCGACGGGTGAATGAGGTCCCAAGGTTGTTGAGGCAAGCTGGGAGGTCAGCATGACCCTCAGAAGTGAGCTGCACTGCTTTGTGTTGAACTGAGATGGCTTCAGCCATGTCAGAAACATCACCAGTGTGCTTGAAGCGACGCCGAAATGAGATTCCGAGGTTGGTGAGGCGACCTGGCAGGTCGGCATGACTCTCAGGGGTGAGCTGCACCGCGCTATAAAGCACTGCTATAGCCTCAGTGATAGTCACAAGGTCTCCTGTCCTTTCAAATTGCCTCACTAAATCCACTCCAGTGCTATTCAAAGCAGCGATATCTACGTGAATATGATTCATAAACCTCTGTCTCTATTAGTTCAAGAGACGCACTCACCTTCAGTCGGCAGAATAGTATCCAACAGTATTTCCACTGTCCTCCATGATATAATCAAACATACACTTTCCCTGTACATTTCCATGCCCAGGCTGTGCCCTAAGTATATCCAATATTTGATATAATTCACTTTTGTGCATATGATTTGGTCTTACCATGCTCCGAGTGCATACGTGCTGGTTGCATCCCCGAGTCGGTGCGATCTAGATGCACAAAAGCAAACATCTTCGCCCTCTTCACTCCTTACAACACAGTCAATTCCAGCCACTCCGGCAGGTCTTCAGCCCTATCTTAGTCCTGATGTCTAGTCAGCAGCAAGATGGTGAAACTCACAGCCGAATGAAGTCTGCCATGTGCCACTGTCCCGAAGCGCCTTTGTGAGGGTATAGCAATCTCCTTCCTCTGAGTCTGGTATATCGAATACCCAGAGCTCTGTCAAGCTCAATGGCGTTCTATCGTCATTGGCTGTGTCGGTGCGCTCGAGGATGACGTCTAGTCAAATCATATCAGTTGAAGCTGGGATAACCATCCCTACGATAGCTTTACATACCTGTCAGATAAAGGGTCGCTAGATGGCCCGAAATCTATGAGATGTCGCCCATTCATTTGAACTGACTTATCACTTACCCATCGCCACTGCGAGACGAGGTACCAGTAAGCTACTGCTTAACGCTTCAGTCTCTCCATGCTAACAGACGATGGCATCGTACTTCTCTTGGCTCATGGTGCTTTCGATGGAGGTCTTGATTTGTGCAAGGGAAAAAAATGCGTTGAGAAAAGGGGAAACGAGTGAGTGCCGTAGATACTGTCTTATATGGCAGGAAGCAACGGGTCGCGAGGATGGGCGCCTGTTTGGGATCGGCACAGGTCACACGTGTGTGCAGCATGCGACTATTCGAACACAGCCTACAGCTCATAGGTAGCACACCCCGTGCCCATATCTAAACTCAATGGCATCTAGCACCCCATTTACACGGCCTTCATGCACCATTATCGATTATCGCTTAGTCGCATGATCAAACCTTGGGCGCTGTGAATCGGCTCAGGGGTTGTACTACCCGCACATTGCTAACACACGATATACACGTCGATTGGTATGAAATGAACGCCCGAAGTACGCAAGATGGTGTGTTTGACGTCCAGAGCTGTGCAGGTATCTGACAGACGCCATGTACTGCATACACATTCATATAGTATTGCGGCGTGAAAGGAGTCATCGAGGCATCAAGTGACCATTACTACTACCATCTGTACTACACCGTCCTGCCCTTCATGGATCCGCTCCAGATCTGTGTAACTCTATATTGTACCATGCACACCCCATGGCACGTCCCTACCCTCTACGGTCGCATGGTCGCCTTCTTCACGTCTCCCAACGTACCCTGCTTCGTTCCGCTTTCCGCTTTCTCCCTCCTCTGTCCTTCTTTCGTCGATGGGCATTGCATCACGCCGTCCCACCTACATGACTGCTACTTCGACAAAAATCCACAAGGAGTCCCCAACGATGTGTGACTTCCTTACCCTACCAGCTCCCCCTCTCCCCACCATGGCAATCGCCGATGAGCATCCAACCATGCTTGGCTTCTCCAATCCTCAACCCTTTCAGTAGGGTGCGGTTGATGAAGCTTGGTGATTGTCACCCAACCAGCGCCAGCTATCGCTGTCAGGATCTGGGTCCGGTCTCATGGTTCGATCACTATTAGCGCCCATCCCCCTATTGCACTGCCTTTCGCTCTTGGCCAGCGCCAAATGTTTCTCTCGCCTCCTCCGCCATGACTGCGACCTCGATCGTCTGCGGGTATCATCCCACGCATTCCCTCGCCTTCGACCGTCGACGCCAGGCCGTGACGTTCCCTGCTGGTAGATCACTCATCGTGTTGAATGCTCGTGGGAGTTGCATTCCTAAGCCATACAGTCAGTTACTTGTCCAGAAGACATAGAGATAAGGTGGATGGACATAAAGATAGCGAGAGAGGTTGACAGAGGTGGATAGACAGATGGATAGACAAGTAGAAAGAGAGCATGGACATACCGACATCATCTACCAAAGTCAAGAAGCAGCTTCTCACCTGAAAAGGCGTAGGCCGAGATATAGCCGCCTAGGTATCGGACGGTGGTTTCGAAAAAGGGGATGTAGTCGCCTGTCTGGAGGAAGGACGAAGGCGGATTAGCATGTATGCAGGAGAGGTTGAAACAGGAGTTGGAGGAAGCCCCAGACGGAGAATGGAGGAACGAAGCTACACAGCAAACATCCCGCCTAAATGAGCACTCACCAGGTTGGCAACATCTTCCTCTCCAGCACCCGCACCGTCCTCCAAACATCTGCCTTCATATCCATCAAACGTAGCGGTGAGAGAGCCTCGACAGCAGTCAGCGACTATCTGTTGATCCTATTGAACAATCCCGCATTAGTCGCGGGACCCCACAAGATGTTACAAACTTACAACTCGTCCCTTGGGTACGCATGGTTCCTATATCCAACATACGCCCTCGCAAACGCATTCTTGACCTTCTGTTTCCTCCTTGCCCACTTCTCTTTCTCCCTACAGGATCCACCGGCTCCTCCTCCTCTTCCTCATTCCCATCCGCCCCGTTCGGTATCGTAGGATCCCCATCCCGGTTGATAGCAGGTGGAGGCGGAGGAAAAGGCTGATTATTCACCCATGGCACCTGCTGCTTCACCTTCCCCCATGTCTGATCAAGGGACCCAGTATCAACGATGAGAGGGGGGAGGAACCAGAGGCCTGCGATGAGGATGGCGGAGAGCCCGAGCCAGCGCAGGATGGGTCAGCCAAAGCGAGATAAGGAGCTGCCACGAGATTGAGAATGTGCGACGAATGCGTGGAGGTGGTTTCGGTGGGTTGGAGCGTCGAGGGCATCATCCAGCTTAGGTGGGTTGGTGTGGGAGGGTAGGCTGTTTAGGTCGATGATGATAGTTGGGTGTTGCGCTGCGTTCTGTACAACGAGCGCTATGCCTTCATGGACGTATTGTCCAAAGGAACCTGCAAGAAAACTATGAGAACCCACCAACGTATCATGCACACGAACCAGCTTACCTGGAAATCCAGAAATAGACCTATAGGACAAGAATCTCTCTCCGCGCTCTGACCCGTTTGCAAAGATCATCATTGCCTAGACCGACACTCCTCTACATCCGCGCAGAAGGGGAAGAACGGTGCACGTTCCAACAGCAAGGAACGACGATAGTAGTAAAAAGTAACAACGCGCCAATTGACCGAAGTGGTGAGAAATTGAATGGTGGGAAAAGAGGGATAATTGATAATTGATAATCGATAATTGATTAGCGTTTTGGATATTCCGTTTGTGTGCGGGGTAGGTGCGCCAGGCTTGGCGACGCTGAGTGTTGTGTTGGTGACGGTCACATTCACTCGCTGCAGATGAAGGAGATTATCTGCTGTGAGGGTTGTTGGGATGGCAGGTGGAAGAGCGGTGAGAAGCGTGTTCCAGGAGGCTCATCAGAAATGGAGATCTTATCTTATCCGTTGCGTCATGCTGATAGCGAGCAAAGGGGTTCCACTCACATGTCTCTGTTCGTATATCGGTTAGTACACGCGCCTGTCATTGCAGCCGCCTCAATAAATGCACTTTCCGCGCGAAAGCTGGGTTCAATTCCCAGACAGAGAGCCTCTAACATCGATGGAATCCCCTCATCATTTTTGGAACTCTACTATAAGCAAGTTGGCCCATCAAGCTCAACGTGTGCCGCGCGGTGAGTTTGGTCGTCACTTGAGAACGTAGCGTCGTAAGGAACAAGCAGAAGACGACGCAGGCTCCTATAACCAGCACGCTCTCGCCCGCACCTTCTCCCTCTTCATCACTCTTTGTTTGTTCGGACCAAACACGAGGCTCGATGCTTGCGAGAGCGGCTGCGCACTACTGTTTGGTCCGAACAAACAAAGGCCCTCTTTCTGAGAAACCGATCGAGTGAGACAGAGCGTGCTGGTTCACGAGCCTGAAGACGACGCTGAACTGGAGAGGATATCAGTTGGCCAACTAACACCAGCCTGACCATTTAGCCGTAAAGGTACCATCCCTTGGACTTTAAATTTCAACTCCACCAGCGCTTATCCCAAGGCACATCAAGCGTGTCTGGCTTGGGTTCGACTCCCGGTCAAGCCCATCTCGATTTCACTGTTCCGATGCAGCGAGGTTCAGCAGACAACTTCAAAGCTTGCCGAGGGGACAGGCACAGGTCTGACCCTCCCAGGGACCATCCGAGGGGGTGTGAAGCGGCCATGTAATCCGAATCTCACTAGGCTCTAATAATCCCACCAGCGCTTAATCCAAGGTGCTTGTAAATTGTCCCTGCAATGAACCAACGATTTTCCCGGTTTATATCTGCTCATGCTCCGAGCCACGCCTCATCAGGATGATGTTTAGGAGAGTAAAACAGGGAGGGCTGCTATTTGTAGGCGTTACTTTCCGCATTTCTAACAACGGCAAAGAAAACAAAGCACGCCGCTTCGGCATACTGCTCTGTGTGCGTGCAATCAACATTTGCTGCTACGCCTGGGTTCGACTCTCAGGCGGGGGGGTAGCCCAGTACCCAGTGGTTGACACCTGTGGTCCTCCTAGCCATCCTTGAGTTCTCGCTCTTCAGGCATATATATTACGGGTGGAATAACTCTAGACGCCTTGCGCTTTTGTTGGAGCGTTCTATTGGATGCGCATGCGTTTCGTTGCCTGATAACTGCCTGAACGGTGCTGCGACTCAACCAGGTCAAATCCCTGTTTGTATATCGGTAATTACCTTCGCGCGCCCATCATTGAATTACTTTCTTTTGGCCTTCACTACTCGGTGAGTGCCGGCCTGGTGTTTTAGTGCGATGGATCTGGTTTCACCGGTGCAAATCGATAGGATTGACTAGGGAATCTGTATCGACGGGTTTTCGCTTATATACTGTAGAATCTAAACTCGACGTCATGTGAAATGAACAAAGCAAGGGCAGGCATCAAATAAGATAAGAGTCCGTGTGAGAGACGTTACAGGAGTTCTACTCCCCGTCAACCTTTGTTGCACACGCTGCTGCAATTCATTCCTCCGGGGGCATTCAGTGAGGCTATTTAACAAAAGCCGTCACCGCGGAAGGTACGGCCAACAGCAAGGTCATTGGCACCACCACCATTGGTCCTGCGATCATAACCGTAGCCATCCTGACCGCAGTAGTGGCTAACAACGGTGTGCATGTCGATGATCAGCCCATAAGTCAGGTAGTTGGCCTGATAGTTGCAGAAGAACGAGGTCTCGCCTCCCAGATGAACCTAGTTTCTACATGTTGGTTTTCAATGGCTTCAGGAAGAAGAGCCGAGACCTACCCAACCATTGGCACCTTTACCGTACGAGCCCTGCGCGTTGGCGTTGTTGGCCAGCTGCACGTTGGCGTTATTGAGATCGTTGAGGTTGATTGAGCGACGGCCGGAGCAGGTAGTCCCGCGTTTGAGCAAGCTGGTGTTGATGGTGGCAGGAGTGGTGGTGACCGCTTCGGTGGATGCGAGGTCAGTCAGAGCAGTGAATTGGACGTCTGCGACATCTGTCCCGTTGTGGAAGACAGCGAGGTAGAAGCCATCGCCCTGGTCGACCTCACCGCGCATACGGAGACCGGAGCCAAAGAGCGACTCGGTTGGCGCCGCGAAGACTGCAGTGACAAAGATCATGATGGCGATGGAGGAGAGCTGCATGTTCAATTATTTGAAGAGGTGGAAGAATAAAGGTGAACGATTTCGAAGATTGGTTTCTGTTGAGTATGAGAGAAGATGAGTTGGATGAGAAAGTTGAGCTCACCTCCTCGAGTCTTTATACCTTTTACACCTCCGGTGAGACCAAAGAGCCACCAACAGAGGCCATGGCCCAATGCACCCTCATATTGCCCCGTCGAGGGTATCGTGGTCCACCTCCCGGAACAACAGAATGATGAAGCTAAATTCGATCAGCTGTTCAACTGCGAGGCCGTCCATCGTTCTCGATCCAAGAATACTACTTCGGAGCCCTGGTGCGCAAAGCGCAAGCTCTTTCACGAAGTTTCTGCCACTATCCTCGTCACAGAGCCCGGAAGCATACGCGCACCTAGGGATAGCCAAGCTTGGTGTAAACATTCCTTCAGATGGAAACATGCGCCGGCGCTAAACATAGGCTTCGTCGCACGTTTAAAACGGTTCATCACACATATAGAAGACTACGGGTTGACCTCTTTAAATAGAAGAAACTACATGGATCCAATCAAAGTCGAGACCATTGTCCAAGGCCCATTCGCGGAGATCAAAGCACTTGCCCCTCTAGGGAGCACAGCAGTCAACGGCTTGAAAGACTTGGTCGTTCTTGGGGGTGACTCGACATTGTGCACCCGTGTCCGAAAACCTGTGGGACATGATAATATAAGATGTCATTTTCATCACGAAAGAAACTCCATAACTGATTTTACCATGATCATCACATTATCATGAAAGCCGTCAATGATAATTCCCTCAAAAAGGTCATAATCATGGACGGGGCAGATGATCCTTTGATTATCATTGAGTCTTTCACCATGATAATCGAGGTCTGATTATCATGGCCCACAGATTTTCCGACACGACTCGGGAGCGGGTACCATCAATGCGAGTCTGTCGTGTCTGAAATTGTGTTGAACAACTTGATCCCTAGACATCCAGTCGCCAGACTGGAGACGTAGGAAAAGCCGGCTTTATCAACGATCACACCGTAGTATGCTTCTCGTTCCTCTCTGGAGCGGCATAAATCCGGCATTCAAATTTTCACATACCGTCAATTCAATCTCTTGACCAAGGGGTGCGGGAGAAGCGTTTCCCTTCGATCAGTGCAAAGATAGCAGGACTTGATGCGCGAAACATTTTCCAGAACCAGGATGTAGGGGAGTCGGGACGCTCGTGGGGCTGGTGCTCCCGCATGACCAGACGAAACGTCACAGCCCGTCCTCTTCTAGATAAAAAGAAGCAGTAACGGGCTGAACATACCGTGAAAACCACTGGTGTCACCTCGACCGGCGTCAAATTTTAGAGATGGTGCTAAATCAGTTGGAAAGGGCGTCGCGGACAGTCAAGATATTCAGTTGACCGAATTCGCTTGACCATCGGTGAGTTTCTCATGTCCTATACTGCAGCCGACATTCAATAGATTCAGAAATAATGTCATGTCGGCCTGCAAAGACCTGCTGTTCATGATGGATCGTTACTGTTGCAAGTTGTAGCAAAATGGATCTAACCGAATAGCCATCCCGATGTATCTTTCTGTGGAAAGTGCAACCTAGGCCGCTCGAAAGAAGGCCTCTCCAGCTCGCCGTCATCTAGCCTCGCAAGTGCCACCCGAGTCAAATGTGGGTTATTTTTCCCTCAGGAGTCCGTGTTTCACATGAATTTGTATTGAAGAATGGATGAATCCGGGAGTTTATATGTCAATACGCACTCTGCGGAGGGCCGCTGATGTCAACACCTTACTTTTGTATGTGCTCAGTCCAAAGGTAAGTAAGAGAGCAGTGGAACACACTAGCGTCGAAGCTTGCCCTTGTTCAAGTTGCGAACGCTAGCAGGGTCAACAAACAACTGGAAAAATGAAAAGAGCCGTTACTAGAGGGGCCTTGACCCGCCGTCGACGATCAGGATTTGGTAATTCACGAGACAGAAGGACTGAGCAAGAACATGGTTGAGTTCGCAGCGCTGTGAACATCGTCAATGCGCCCGTAGGATGCTCATGGTTTACCATTTGTCATCACTTTGAAGTGACTGACGATCCAACCAGGGAAGCGCCAAGCGATGCTAACAGGCCCACTGGACTAGCTGCCCGTGCCAAGTTTCAGCAGCGCTTAATCCAAGGGTCTTGTCTGGCGTCACTGCTCCTGGATTCGATCCCCGTAAAGCCGATATATGTTTTTATGTGCTGTTTTGGGCGACCGGACCCATTGCGAGGATGCAGCCATATACCTTGTCCTTTACAGTGTCTATTGCTTGTGTTCTCAGTTGGACAGCGCAGCCTGCAGGCGTCCTCGGTTTCTTATTCGCCCATATTACATTGCCATATGTAACACGCATCTGTATCCCCCGGCACCAGAATACCCATTCACACTCATTCTACCTCTCTTCTAATCTCATCCCCCTCTCGGAGAGTACTCGAGCGTAGGTAACGACAAACTCGACTTTCCAATGTCGACGTCTAGTCTCTTCGAAAAGTCCAAGTGCGTTGTCGTCGTCGTCGGTCGTGGGCGCTTCAAGTTGTAGTGGCCCATGTAGGGGTTGTTATTGCTGTTATCTGCCACTGTGGCCAATTCAATATCGATGTCGACTGTTGGGATAGCTTTCTTCCCCCCTGTCTTGATTCCTTTGGATGCAAGTGCTCTTGGGGGACCTCCAAATCGACTATGAGGATCGGGATCCTCGTCAATGTCAATGGGGGCTTTAGAGTCGAAGAAGCTGGAGGCGCGGGAATCTCGACGGGTCTCGTTGGGCGCTGACGCTTCTGGCAGTCGAAGGGTTGGAGGACGTTGCTGGATGACTATATGTGATTGGTCAATTAGGAGTGAAGAACAAGCGTGAAAAGATCCAAAAAGCGGCTGGAAGTGCTCAAGGGAACGCAGAAGTTGAAATCCGGGAGCATAATCGATATGCAAAAGAAAAGA